TCTAATTTTTTTTAGTGTGTTTTAGCCTTTTTAGGCCCGTGTCTTTTCAAAATTTATAATTCCATGCAGTTTATGGCCCCATCGGCCCTTTTTTGGGATTTCCCGGGTTTCTGTAGCCCCCTTTACCACACTGTGCCACGGGGGCCCCGTTTTCCGCCGTTTTTCTTTCTGTTGCCAGATCCCTCCTCTGCCATGTGTGTCTTTTTTCGTCCTGCTCACCCCTGCTGGGTTCCAGTTTTAAAACCCCAGGCCTTTTTTTATTTGGGTTCCCAAAACGCTGCCTCCACCCACCCTGCGCCATTTTTTGGGGGCCCCGTCGTTTTGCCCCGCTGCTGACGGCTTTTCCCCCTTTTTAAGGGCCTGTGTTTGTCTTCCAAAAAACTTTCTTGGGATCCCTGCCACCCTGCGCCCTGTTCTCTGTCGTTTTTGTCACGTGCTGACGGCTTTGCTTTTTTTTCCTAGGCCTGTGTTTGGCTTCCCAATATGCTTTCCTCCACCGCCACCCTGCGCCCCTGTGCCCCTTTGTTTGCTCACGTGCTGAGGCTTCCCCTTTTTAAAGGGCCTTTGGGGTTTTGGTTTCCGAATAATGCTGATCCACCGCCACCCTGCGCCATGTGTCTCTGGGCGTTTGCTCACGTGCTGGCGGCTTTCCCCTTTTTAACCTAGGGCCCGTGTATGGCTTCCGGGAAAACTGCTGCAATCCCCCGGGCCCCCCTGCGCCCTTTTGCCACTTTAAGGGGTTCCTTTCAATGTTGGTGGGTTTTTCCCTTTTTGTGTTTGGGGCTGTTGGGCCCTTTCCCTTGCTGTGCCCCCACCGCCACCCTGGGGCCCTGTTTCCTCTGTCTTTTTGCTTTACGCTGCTGAGGCTTCCGCTTTTTAAACCCAGGCCTGTGTTTGGGGTTCCCAAATTAAATGCTGCATCCCCCGCCACCCTGCGCCAAAGTGTCTCTGTCGTCTGCTTCATTGCAGCTGACGGCTTACGCTTTTTTAACCTAGGCCTGTTGTATGGCTTCCAGAACTACTGCTCCCTCCACCGCCAACCCTGCGCCATGTGCCACTTTCATGGTCTCCTTACACTGTTTGGTGGTGGGGTTCCATTTTGGGATAGGCGTGGCTGTTATGGACTTCCATTGCTGCTGCCTCCACAGCCATCACTGCGCCGTGTGACTCTGATCGTCTGCCTCACGCTGGCATGACGGCTTCCCGCTTTTTAACCCCGAGGCCTGTGTTTGGCTTCCGAATACTGCTGCATTCCACCGCCACCCTGCGCCATGTGTCTCTGTCGTCTGCTCACGCTGACTGACGGCTTTCCGCTTTTTAAACCTAGGCCTGTGTATGGACTTCCTAATTACTCCCCCCTTCACTCCACCGCCACCACCTGCCGCCATTGTGCCTCTGTCGTCTGCTCAACGCTGCTGACGGCTTCCGCCTTTTTAACCGAGGGCCTGTGTTTGGCTTTTTCCTGAATACTGCTGCATCCACCGCCACCCTGCGCCCATGTGTTCTCTGTCGTCTGACTCACGCTGCTGACGTGGCTTCAGCTTTTTAACCGAGGCCTGTGTTTGGGCTTCCGAAAATACTACTGACATCCACCGCCACCATGCACCATGTGTGTCTCTGTCCGTCTGCTCCACGCTGCTGACGGCTTCCGCTTTTTAACCTAAGCCTGTGTATGGATTCCGGAATACTGCTGCCTCCATCGCCAACCATGCGCCATGTGCCATTTTCAGGTCTCCTTATCACTTGTTTGGTGGGTTCCATTGTGTGTTAGGGTGCTGTATGGCTCTTCCATTGCTGCTGCCTCCACCGCCTACCTGCGCCATGTGCCTCTGTCGTTCTTGCTCTCGCTGCTGTCGGGCTTACTCTTTTTTAAACGAAGGGCCTGTGTTTGGGCTTTTCAGAATGCTGCTGCATCCACCGCCACCTCTGCGCCATGGTGTCTCTGTCGTCTGCTCCACGTGCTGTTGACGGCTTCCGCTTGTTAACCTACGGCCTGTTGTTATGGCTTGCCGAAGTACCTGCTTCCTCCCACCGCCAACCCTGCGCACATGTGCCTCTGTCGTCCTGCTTCACGCTCGATGACGGCTTACGCTTTTTTAACCGAGGCCTGTGTTTGTCTTTCCGTAATTCCTGATGACATCCACCGCCACCCTGCGCAAATGTGTCTCTGTCGTCTGCTTCACGGCTGCTGACGGGCTTACGCTTTTTATCAGAGGGCCTGTGTTTTGGCTTCCGAATTCTGCTGCTAATTTCCACCGCCACCCTGCGCCATGTGTCTCTGTCGTCTGCTCACGCTGCTTGACGGCTTCCGCTTTTTAACCTAGGCCTGTGTATGGCTTCCGAATACCTGCTGCCTCTGTCTCCACCGCCCACCCTGCGCCATGTGCATTCTTCTCCTGCTCTTAATGTTTCTGCTCTCACGCTGCTGACGGGCTTCCGCTTTTTAACCGATAGGACTGTGTTTGGCTTCGTATACTGCTGCATCCACCGCCACCCTGGCCATGTGTCTCTGTCGTCTGCTCTCACGCTGCTGACGGCTTCCGCTTTTTTAACCTAGGCCTGTGTTGGCTTTCCGTATACTGCTGCTCCACCGCCACCCTGCGCCATGTGCCACTCTTTCAGGTCTCGTGCTTACACTGCTGGTGGGTCTTCCTTTTAGTGATAGGGTGCTGTATGGCTTCCGATTGCTGCTGCTCCACCGCCACCCTGCGCCATGTGCCCTCTGTCGTCTGCTCACGCTGCTGACGGCTTCCGCTTTTTAACCGAGGCCTCGTGTTTGGCTTCCGAATACTGCTGCATCCACCGCCAGTCCTGCTGTTGCCATGTGTCATCTGTGCGTTCTGCTCACGCTGCTGACGGCTTCCGCTTTTTAAAACTAGGCCTGTGTGATGGCATTTCCGAATACTGCTGCCTCCAACCGCACCCTGCGCCATGTGCCACTTTCAGGTCTCCTTACACTGTTGGTGCGGTCTCATTTTGGTGATTAGGGTGACTGTATGGCCTTCCAATTGCTGCTACCTCCACCTCCCACCCTGCGCCATAGTGCCGTCTGTCGTTCTTGCTCTACGCTGCTGACGGCTTTCCGCTTTTTAACCGAGGCCTGTTGTTTGGCTTCCGAAATTCTGCTGCATCTCCACCGCCACACTGCGGCCTTGTGTCTCTGTCGTCTGCTCACGCTGCTGACGGGCTTACGCTTTTTATACCTAGGACTGTGTTATGGCTTCCGAATACTGCTGCCCTCCACCGCCACACCTGCGCCATGTGCCACTTTCAGGTTCCTTTACACTGTTGGTGGGTTCCATTTTGTGATAGGGTGCTGTATGGACTTCCATTGCTGCTGCCTCCCTAGCCGCCAACCTCTGCGCCATGTGCCTCTGTCGTCTGCTCACGCTGCTGACGGCTTCCGCATTTTAACCGAGGTCGGCCCTGTGTTTGGCTTCCGAATACTGCTGCATCCACCGCCACCCTGCGCCATGTGTCTCGGTCGTCTGCTCACGCTGCTGACGGCTTCCCGCTTTGTAACCGAGGCCTCGTGTATGGCTTCCGAATACTGCCTCCCTCCTCCGCCACACCTGCGCCATGTGCCACTTTCAGGTCTCCGTTACACTCTCCCGTTGAGTGGGTTCCATTTTGTTGACTAGGGTGCTGTATGACCTTTCACATTGCTGCTTGCATCCACCGCCCACCCTGCGCCATGTGCCTCTTGTCGGTCTGCTCACGCTTGCTGGCAGGCTTCAGCTTTCTAAACCGACGGCCCTGTGTTTTTGGCTTTCCGAATTACTGCTGCATCCACCGCCACCTCGCGCCATGTGTCTCTGTCGTCCTGATGCACTCGCTGCTGACGGCTTCCGCTTTTTATCCTAGTATGGGCCTGTGTATGGCTTCCGATATACTGCTGCCTCCCACAGCCTACCCTGACGGCCATGTGTCTCTGTCGTCTGCTCACGCTGCTCTGCGGCTTCACGCTTTTTAACCTAGAGGCCTCGTGTATGGGATCCGAAATACTGCCGCGCCTCCACCGCGCACGACCCTTCAGCCAGATGTGGCCACTTTCAGGTCTCCTCGTATCACAGTTGGTGGGTTCCGCTTTTTAACTTAGGCCTGGTGTATGGCTTTCCGAAAATACTGCTGCACTCCACGCGAGACACTGCGCCAATGTGCCATACTTTCAGGTCTCTTTACACTGTTGGTGGGTTCCATGTTGTCGATTGGGTGCTGTATGGGACTTTCCATTGCTGCTGCCTCCCTCCGACTACACTGCGGCAATGAGCCTCTGTCGTCTGCTCACACGCTGGCTGACGGCTTTACGACATTTTTAACGCCAGGCGGCTGGTGTTTGGGCTTCCGAATACTGCTGCATCCACCGCCACACATGCTCCATGTGTCTCTGTCAGTCTGCTCACGATGCAGACGGCTTACGCTTTTTATACTAGGCCTGTGTATGGCTGTCCGAATACTGGCTTGCCTTCCATCCGCGCCATCCCTGCAGCCATTGTGCCTCAGTCGATCTGCTCAACGCTTGCTGACGGCTTCCGCTTTTTAAACGAGGCCTGTGTTTGTCTTACTGAATTACTGCTTGCCTTCCATACCGCCAACCCTCTTGCGCCATGTGTACTATGGTCGTGCTTCTGCTCACGCTGCTGACGGCTTCCCGCTTTTTTTTGGTTTTTCTTCTTTCTTTTTAAACAGAGGCCTGTGTTTGGCTTCCGAATACTGCTGGCCTCCACCGCCACCCTGCGCCAATGTGTCTCTGTCGTCTGCTCACGCTGCTGACGGCTTCCGCTTTTTCAACTAGGCCTGTGTATGGCTTCCGAATACGCTGCCGCGCCACCGCATGTGTCTCTGTCACTACCTGCTGCCATGTGCCTCTGTCGTCTGCTCACGCTGCTGTACGGCGTATTCCGCTCTTTTTAAAAACTAGTCCTGTGTATGTCTTCCGAATACTGCTGCATCCACACCCCGCCACCCTGCGCCATGTGCCACTTTCAGGTCTCCTTACACTGTTGGTGGGTTCCATTTTGTGATAGGGTGCTGTATGGCCTTCCATTGCTGCTGCCTCCACCGCCACCCTGCGCCATGTGCCTCTGTTCGTCTGCTCACTAGCTGCTGATGGCTTCCCCGCTTTTTAACCGAGGCCTGTGTTTGGCTTCCGCGAACTGCTGCTGCATCCACCGCCACCCCTGCGCCATGTGTCTCTGTCGTCTGCTCACGCTGCTGACGGCTTCCGCTTTTTAACCAAGGCCTTGTGTTTGGCTTCCGAATATACTGCTGCATCCACCGCCACCCTGCGCCTTGTGTCTCTGTCGTCTGATCACGCTGCTGACGGCTTCCGCTTTTTAACCTAGGCCTGGTAGGGCCCTTCCGAATACTGCTGCCTCCAAACCGCCACCCTGCGCCATGTGTCTCTGTCGTCTGCTCACGCTGCTGACGGCTTCCGCTTTTTAACCGAGGCTGTTTTGGGACTTCCGAATACCGATCCACCGCCAACCCTGCGTGTCTCTGTCGTTCTGCTCGACGCTGCTGACGGCCTTCCGCTTGTTTAACCTAGGCCTGTGTATGGCTTTCCGAATACTGCTGCATCCACCGCCACCTGCGCCATGTGCCACTGTGCACTTTCAGGTCTCCTGCTACACTGTTGGTGACGGCTTCCATTTTGTAATAGGGTGCTGTATGGCCTTCCGAATTGGGGGGGGGTCTGCTGCCTCCCACCTCCACCGCGCCACCCTGCGTCTCCTTTTACATGTGGGCCATTTGTCATAGGGGGTCTGCTTCATTTGGGGCTGGCTTACCTCCCACGCCACACTGCGGGCCTCTGTCGTTCCGCTGACGGCTTTTTTAACCGAGGCTGTGTTTGCCTTCCGAAACTACTGCTGCCTCCACCGCCACCCTGCGCATGTGTCTCTGTCGTCTGCTCACGCTGCTGACGGCTTCCGCTTTTTAACCGAGGCCTGTGTTTGGCTTCTCAAATACTGCTGCATCCACCGCCACCCTGCGCCATGTGCCTCTGTCTTCTGCTCACGGCTGCTGACGGCTTCCGCTTTTTAAACTAGTCCTGTGTATGTCTTCCGAATACTGCTGCCTCCACTGCCACCCTGCGCCATGTGCCACTTTTCAGGTCTCCTTACACTGTTGGTGGGTTCCATTTTGTGATAGGGTGCTGTATGGCCTTCCATTGTGCTGCCTCCACCGCCACCCTGCGCCATGTGCCTCTGTCGTCTGCTCACGCTGCTGACGGCTTCCGCTTTTTAACGACTAGGCCTGTGTTTGGCTTCCGAAATTACCGCTGCATCCACCGCCACCCTGCCCCATGTGTCTCTGTCGTCTGCTCACGCTGCTGACGGCTTCCGCTTTTTTAACCTAGGCCTGTGTATGGCCTTCATTTGAAGCTGCTTCTGCTCCGCCACTCTGCCATTGGACTCTTGATAGTCGTCTCCCACGCTGCTGCTGGGGGGACTTTTTAACATAGGCCTCTGTATGGCCTTCAATTTTAGCTGCTTACGCTCCGCCACTCTGCCATGGGCCCCTGTACCGCCTCCTCATGCCTCTGCCAGGCCCGTAATCTGCCATGGGCCCCCCAGTACCGACTCCTCATGCTGCTGCCAGGCCCGTAATCTGTCATGGGCCCCTGTACCGCCTCCTCATGCTGCTGCCAGGTCCAGAGTGTGTCATGGGTCCCTGTACGGCCTCACATTGCTGCTGTCTCCATCGCCACACTCTGCCATGTGCCACTTTCAGGTCTCTTCACACTGCTGGTGGGTTCCATTTTGTCATAGGGTGCTGTATGGCCTCCCATTGCTGCTGCCTCCACCGCCACACTGTGGCTCCACACTCTGGTTTTGGCCCCGTGACTGCCCAAAAGAGTGAAGTGTGCGGTGATTCTAAGATCGACGGCACTCATCTGCATGTCATACTGACTGACAGTATTATTTCTCTTCCCAGCAGACTCCAAGGGCATTTAAATTAAAGGTACAGTGTTCTGCACTAATATAAAGGCTCTCTGAAGCCTAGAAAAACCCTTTTTATAAGTTAAATTCGCAGCGAATATATTCGGCACGAAGCGAATTTAATCGCGAATTCGGCGAATCAGCCGAACCGAATTTTTGAATAATTCGCTCATCTCTAGTATTGGCATTACCATCCTAGATGATGACTAAACCATCTATGTACCACCCATAAAGAACTATCTAGGTGGAAAAGGGATTGGTTTGCCAGATGTGATGGGCCTCCCAGAGCCCCATTGTCAAATTCGCATAACTGGGGGAACAATTTTCCTCCGTAGCTGTGCCTGTGATTTGGAGGTAAAATTCATCATCAAAGCAAAAATAATTGTGAGAAAGACAAAACATTGTAGCTTCAAGAATGAAGTTAGCCTGGGTGTGGCTAAGCTGAGAATCTTCACTAAGGAAATTTTGGACAGCCATTACCCCAATGTCATGGGGTATTGAAGCGTACAGGGAACATACATCCAGAGAAACCCACGTATATATGGGCTCCCAAGCATACTTGCTTAGCATATCCATAAGGTGTATGCCATCCCTGGTGTAATGACTGGGCTAGTGGCTGTAAAAATTGATCAATATACATAGAAAATCCACTGGTAACACGCGCCCTGGGGAATTTCTCAATCCAGTGCTGTGCTTGAGAGTACTGGCTCTCTCCATTCTCTCCTTCCTCACTAGTCAGTGGGAGCCATTGAGCCGGGTGAATTGAATTCTGTGATGAGAGAGCGGGGGGGGGGGGGGGGTGCCTGCAGGATTGATCCCATAGAAAGCTACTTTCTATAGGGGCACTCAGAGGGGGGCAGGAGCCAGGAGCATCAGCAGGGGTACCCAAGAAGAAGAGACTCAGAGCTGCCTTGTGCAAAACCATTGACCAGAGAAGGTAAGTATAACAGGTTTATTATTTTAATAAATAAATAAAGCTTTGCAGTCATTTTACACTTTTTTCATTTGTATTCCTTTTTTTCATTTTTTTCAATGTCTCTGTAAAATTGAAAAAAAAATGTTTCTTTTGTAAATAACTTGAATCATAATTTTAGTATTCTTTTATATGAGAAAAATAAAAGCAAAATGCATACTTTGTATCCAAAATAATACATTTTTTTCATAAACTAACACTGACCAAAATAGAAAAAAGTGGGCTTTTGTTTAGTTTTGTTGTGTTCTTTGTCAATACCTTGTATTAAAAACAAAATCATTTTTGCAGGATAATTACCAAAAGAATGCCTTGTTTATACGCTTTACTTTGTCATCTTGGGTAAAGACAGTGTTATTGCAGAATCATTAGACCATAACAGAAAGCTAAAAAATGTTTCTGGCAGTGTACCGGTGTGAGGGCTAAAGTGGTTAAATAAAAGAGAGAAGACTCAATTTAAATGCTTTAACACAAGTATATGAATCTTCAATTTAGTCATAATGTCTCTTTTCTAAATAAAGATCCTCATCCTTGTGTGATGGCTTTGTGAATTGAGCCTGAATCTCCTGCAACCGACAACCCTATTTATCTAGGGAAAGCCTGATCACTTTTACCACTAGTTCTATTGCTACTGTGAACAGGAAGTTAGATGTAGAGTAGTTCAATCCATGTTTATATTGGAGAATAGTTATCAGGCATTAATAATAATAATAATAATAATAATAGTTGCTCTGTCTGGTATAAAACCTGTTTCTTCACTCTTAACAATGGCTTTTATGACTGCATTCACTTTAGTTGCCAAAATGTTTGCCAAGCATTTAATCCCCATGAATGGAATTTGCCTATATGATTCACATAGAAATGGGTCTTTGCCAGATTTTGGGATGAGGACTATCCAAATGTATTACATAGACAGATTTATGGTTTATTCCTTTTTCTTTTACATAAATCAAGTTTGTTAGAAGTTTTTGAGCTTAGAAATGTTAATCTAGACATGGTGTTTTATGCTTGCCAAAACTTGATTTGCTAGACTTCAATTATTTCAAATTAAAGGTGCATTCAATTTTCACCTTTGGTTAGGTGATTGGCTAGGTAATTTATATAAACTAAGCCATTGAATATTTGGCTCTTGATTACTAGTGATCCAAGAAGAAATCTACAAATGATCTCCTAATACAAACAGAGAAGTAATGCATGCAGGAAATGTGAAAGTGAATGTTCACTTTGCAAAGTGCATGTTCACCCAGCTTAATGAATATGATAACCCTATATTTACTTTTGTAGGGTAGGGGCACATTATTGCCTAGTATAATTTCCATATTGGCCACTAGATGTGGTTTTAGGTAGGGTCAGGAACCCTTACAGTGAAAGAGGGCAGTATAGTTACCTAAGTAGCCACTAGAGTTCCCCAGCATTGTGAGTGGGATGTACCATAGTTAGCAAGGTAGTGCTAGTACTGCCCCTTCCCCTGCCAGTATAGTTCATGAGGACATGGGTAAGGGGACACTGTATATCAAGCCTGATGGGTGTCCACCTGCGTTGCTGGTTGTCATGGGAAGTGTTTTAAGGACTAGGCTGTGGCAATGATGTAATATTTGAGGCTCCAGCTTCTGGGAGCTTCCACACAGGGGCAAAGCAGGTATGGAGAGGCACAGGGCATACGAGGCTACCAGCATCCCCTTTGCATTAGATGCAGGACTCTGGAAACCCCCCAAAAAAGTATGGGCTCTTCGATTCTGCTGTCTGTTTGTTATTGCTGAATCTACTGTTTGCAACTGAAGTAATGTTGAGTCCCCATTGTGGTGACTGAATAATATAAATATGTAATTTAACTGGTTCAGTAAACAGTTACAAGGTTTTCTGTTGTTTGGGCTCTTCCTTCTCCTAACCCCTAGCCAGGAACCTCCTCTGAAAATAAACAGATCCCAGGTGAAACTGATTATGGGGTCCATTGCTGTAAGGCTTGAAGGAAGTATGGGATGGAATAATACTAGTGCTGGTTAGGCTAGGTCAGGGGCCTTCCAGGGGTGTGCATGAATTGGTGCCCAGAGAAAGATCCTTTGTCCAAAGTTCCCGGGGAGCCAAAAAGGACCTACCTATGGTGGACAGGAATGGGTTAAAGAGTGCGTCCCCACCATATGGTTAGTTGTATGTGGAGGACATGCAGCCCAGCACACTCAACATCATGCTCTGCATGATATTGTGAGATAATAAGTGATATAATCTTGCAGAATTACACGTGGGTTTGATTTTTTTCAGGAAGCCAGGAAACATTTCATTTTGGCATTACGACCATGAAAACTATACATTAAGATGTAACTTTATGCATATTTCTTCCCATGCAGAGAGAGTCCAAAAGAAATAGTTCAAGTCAGTACAAAACACCTCCAAAATGCTGTAGATTTGTTAACACTAGAAGGTAGCGATAATGCATAAAGTCAACACAAAAGTGCCTGTTATTACTCAGAAAGGCCTCTTCTGTGTCCCTTTGTGATATAGTTACATTTTTTTACTGGGACTTGCTAATGCCTTTCTAGCTAAGCTCCACCATTTACCATTCCACTGTCCAATTAGAATGCCTCAATGGTAATTATTGCACTCTCATCGTACAAGGTAATGGCAATTGGCAGAACATAGATATTAACCAGATGGAAGTTAGGCCTCAGTAACACACAATTAGAGCAAGTCAAACAAGGGATTTTTTTCTGTCTTTTAGTTTCTGCTCTTAGGAAGGACATTTATATTGAGCACAGGTTCATTTTAAAGTGGTTGTAAAGGCTAAAGGTTTTTTTTTTTACCTTAATGCATTTTCTGCATTAGGGTAAAAAAAACCTTCCAAGAATAGTTCCCCACCAGCCATGCTAAATACTTACCTGAGCCCAATTTCAATTCATTGCTGTGCCAGAGAGCAGCATTGCAGCTCTCTCTCTCTCCTTACTGGACATGAAGGCAGTAGCAAGAGCCATTGGCTCCTGCTGCTGTCAATCAAATCCAATGAGGAGGGAAGGAGAGGTAGGGTGGGGGTAGGGCCGAGCCATGCTATGTGTGTTCATAGACACACAGGGGTTGATTTACTAAAACTGGAGAGTGTAAAATTGGGTGCAACTGTGCATGATAACCAATCAGCTTCCAACTGCAGCTTGTTCAATTAAGCTTTTGAAAATAAAACCCGGAAGCTGATTGGTTTCTCTGCAGAGCTGCACCAGATTTAGCACTCTCCAGTTTTAGTAAATCAACCACAACGTGTCTGCCTTGGGAGTGAGCCTGAATGTCTGTTACCATAGCAAGTGCTTGCCATGGGGGCAGACACGGAATAGGAGGAACGGACAGTATCAGCGGAGAACCAGAGAAAATGAGGTTCAGGGCCTCTCTGTGCAATGCTATCACACAGAGCAAGTAGGTATAACATGTTTATTAACCATTTCCCATCCGCCCTGTAGCAGAAGTACTGCTACAGGGTGGCACGGGTGCCCAAAATCATGTATATATATGTGATTTTGCATTTCTGGGTAGGGGGCAATCGCACCGCCATTTGCGGCCTGGCTGTCAATCACCGGGTCCTGGCTGCTAATCAGCGCCTGGTGGTTGCCGAGCGTCTCTGACGGGGAGAGAACTGTTTGTAAAAAAAAAAACAGTTCTCTCCCCTGTCAGCTCCTGCACACCGCTTTGCATGGCTGTGCACAAAACAGCCATGCAAAGCAGTGTGCTTACAGTGAAGCACACAGACACATCCCCTAGTAAAATAGCGTGCAGCACACAGTTAACCCTTTGACTGCCCCACATGTTAACCCCTTCCTGCCCAGTGTCATTAGTGCAGTGTCAGTGCTTTTTCTTAGCACTGATCACTGTATTGGTG